AAAAAGAAATGCCCACAACAACAATTAAGGTATTGGTTATTTTTATGGGGGTATAGAGGCTGGAAAGTTACACATGAGACTCAATGGGTTACTATTGCTTGATCTGAATGGGGTGGTTTCATCATTGCTTGTTTTGAATACCTTATTAAGCTTTTTGTTTAAAATATTTCACAATAAAAGGGTTTTGCATGATCATGGAGATAATACGTGCTAACGATTAATATTAAGAAAATCCACAAACCATTACAAACATGTATTTTTTTTCTTGAAGACATTTTAAATCCAGATTAATTCCATTTGCACAAATCTACAAATATGTGTTAAGTTTAAACACATCTGTTTGTTCTAAATTAGGAATGGATACCACCCTCTACCCTCTCATTCTATCCGTGGATTTTTACCTGTGTAAGAAACAAGAGCACATGGCCTGACTTTGGTGATTAATACATATGATTTCCTATTTCACATGGCAGAGAGATTACATAATCACTAGAATAGCGAGGAGGCCTTGTCCTGTTCTCCCCACCACACTATGCATGCACACACACAACCAGGGAGAAATCCCTCCCAGCTCATATTCTCAGCACTGTGTTTAGACATAAAGTCTTACAGTAACAGTGGAATTTTAGAAGGCTCAGGCTTTTTACACTGGGCACATGAATTGACAATTTATTATGCCTAAAAGCCTGCTCTCAATAATTGCTATGAACTCCACATAATAAGATTATTTCATGAGGATTAAATCTGATGAAAGCATTAACCATGTTATGTATACCAGAGAGAGTGGGTTATTGGGTCACATCCCCTTTTGTATTAACCCCATCTATTCACCCTTCCACTGTATATAATTAAGTAGATATAGCAATGTTTTGGAAATTTCAAATGAAATCTATAAGATTGTTCACCTGTCCTATTTTCCTTTCTTAGGTAGTGTCTTAAAGCACGAGAATCAAGGGATCCTTAACTACTACATTCCCAGGAAGGACAATAGCTGGGGAAAGGTGATGGTAGAAGCCATGCCCTTCTAACATTATATGTTAAGAGAGCACTAATGATGGGGAGTATTTGGGATTCAGGCATGTCCAATGGAAACCTGGCATTGTGACAGGAGCAGTTCCTTTAGGTTACTTTTCAGACACCCCTAGAGTTTAATTGCTTTAATTTCTGCCCCTAAATCCCATTATCAGTCCATGTCCATCAAGAGAATGGGAACAGAGAACTGCCTCCTCTCAGTTTCTCAATTATCTGTTTCTTTTACTTTCCCATCTCCTCCTTCTGTGCCTTTTGTCCTCCAACATAAACACGACAGGGATTGGGGGAAGTGGAGAAGAGGCCTGTCTGGGTTGGAGGCTGAAGGGGAGATTGCAATAGTAACTGCATTTTTGTTGTCAAAGGTGTTTGGCATTTTGGAGAAAGCTAAAGAGCAATTTGATTTAGAAGACTACTCCATCAGTCAGATAACACTGGAACAAGTCTTCCTGGCCTTTGCTTATGCAGATGAAACAGCAGAAGGTTATGAAAAACAGGAGCCATGAGATTCAGCGACAGTGACCCTTGTGTCTTTCATAGACTATGAGCAGATGTGTCGAGGGACGTTCCTGTATGTGTATATCTTGCTGTAAACATATTTATGTAATAAAGATTTCCCCAGAGGAGAAGTTTGTCTCCTTCTTTGCAGATTTAGATGAATAGATTATATATTCAACATGTGCAAATCTAAAGACATTTGGTGAAATGCCTGTTTTCTCTCCTAGAGATATGAAAAGAGGAACACCTATCAGGGTAGGAACAAGGGCCTGTTCCTGAGTATTCTGAAGGTTTGAATAGAAACGTCCAGAAACAATGGTGTTGTCAGATGGGACAGCCCAAAGAACAAGAGCTTTATGCTTTAGCAGCTGTTATGGATAAGAAGAGCATAAGGCCTGGACCAAATAATGTGTGGATGCATGGACATGCACACAGAAATGTGCACATACACAAACAAACACATAAATATACACATGCACATATATGAATATACATGCACATACACACATGAATACACATATACACATAAATACATAGACACACACACCAATGTCATTCCCAAAATGTCTAATTTAAATCAACACCAGTGTTTGAGGGGTAAATTCAGTTACTGTTTCCAAAATCCAAAATAAAGTTCTTGTGCTTCAATTGAAAGAGAATATTTGCACCAAGAACATTTAGAGCCCATGGCCAGAAGAAAAAGTTTCTTTAAAATAGTGTTTTTTTCCTTCCTGCTCTTGTATCATCTCTAATAAAGAAGGATATAAGAATAAATGAAAAAAAAAAAGAATAAATGGAATGGGGGGGAGATGGATTTTCTTCTGATTCTTGTCTAGGCAGATGGGGTTCCCCAATATGCAACAGGAGAAATATAATCACCTCTCCAGGATTCATCAGGAGATAGGCAGATAATTAGAATGGTCTTTGTGGAATTACAAGATGGGAAGAGTCCATGAAGCTGCCTTACTTTGGGGTCGCTTGTATAATGTTTTATATAATCTTTAGCTGAATATTGTTAATTATAAATTGATGTTTATCATATACTTACAGTTCTATTTTTAGGTAAGGAGGGGATTTGAATTTGTTTCTGTGAAGTGTCTAGGAGCATGAACAGTCTCCAGTTAAATTCATAGCTTTTTTTCTGGCTACCTTGGCTACATGTACCTGAATGAAAATCAATAGAAGAGTTTGACTAATTGGTAGAGCAGTACTCATTGCAGTCTCCAGTTTAAGGAGGTTCAGCCTTATTATGGAACAAAATGTACATCTGTCTGTGCAGGTTGAACAGTGCAAACATGTCCATAGTGACCATGCTTACTGGATTTTCTGATTAATGAGGGAAGTATCTTGTATTATAATAACTCTTCCAAATTGAGTGGGCTCTAAAATTTTATTTCTAACTTATTTATCCCCAAGATCATTAAAACTGAATTAGGGAACCTATTGTCCCAATGTCGTACAACAAATGAGCCAAAGCCATAATTTTGTAGCCCTTTAGGAAAAAAAAATGGTGGGACTCTTGGAAGAATGGCCTGGAGAACTACAGGTCTTCCATCTCATCCATGGATATACCATGGTGTGTTGTTATGATATATATATTGGTTTTCATCCACGGTTCCTGGCTCATAAGTCCCATAGTCCTTATTATAATGTTGGGGTGCTTTAGGCCTCAAGAGCGGACCTCAGAAGATAGAATCTCTCTCTTCCTCTCTCTCTCTCTCTTTCTCACCTTCTCCTGTCCTCCTTTCACCTGCCCAAGGCAAGACTCCAAAATAATTGTGGGTCAAAAGATCCTCATTCCAACATGGGTCCTGCCCCATGCCATGGAAGAAGGAATGCTACATGGAGAGGCCAGGAAGAATCTGAACAGACAGGTCTTTCTGGGCTTAGATCGTGTACTTTTTTGTCCAATCACATTTGCACACAGTTGTCAATCATGCCTGTGTAACGAAGCATCCATAAAAACCCAAGAGGATTGGGTTCAGAGAGTGTTTGGATAGCTGAACACCTGGAGGAACCTGGAGGGTGGTGCAACCAGGGAGAGCATGGAACCTCTCCATGCTCCCTTCTCTTCCCTCATATTTAGCCTTACGCATCTCTTCATCTGTATCTTTTGTAATATTCTTTGTAACAAATTGGTAAATGTAAGTAAGTGTTTGCCTGAGCTCTGTGAACCACTCCAGCAAATTAACCAAATCCAAAGATGGAAGGGGTCCTGGGAACCCCAACTTGAAGCTGGTTGATCAGAAGCTCTGGAGGCCCAGACTTGCAACTGGTGTCTGGGGGCGGGGGGCATCTTGGGGACTGAGCCCTCATCCTGTGGGATCTGACACTATCTCCAAGTAGATAGTGTCAGAACTAAGTTACAGGACACCCAGCCAGTGTCCACTGCTTGGTGTGGGCGGGGGGAGCCCACATTTAGTCATAGAAGTCCTCTTCTGTGTTGATTGTTGTGGAATTTAGAGAAAAGCATAGTTTAGGGAGTTTTTCCCAAAATAAGCAGGATAAATGACTTGGGCCTTTACTTAAGGCAATTTTTGTAATTAGGTAAGGTCAAGAATTGGTTATTGTCCTCAATTTGATGCCTTGCTGCAATACATGACTTCTCAGGAAATAATGATCATGTATGGCAAATTTTGGGGAGTCTCTAAGCACCAGATTGAGCTGTATGTGAACAAATGTTTGAACTCACTGGAACTGAAGGCTCATGCTGACAAGCTTATCAGCACCTAGAAGTGAGTCATTATGCTGCTGCGCTTCATTGTTAATGCTGCTAATGTGGAAGTGCTTCCCTATGTTCCTGAAGTTTGAAATAAATGCCCACAGCTTTCCTAAGCCCCTCTGCCCACAAATACCCAATTGTGAAACTATTTAATGTTTTGCTAGGTTTAAAGCAAATCAATGTATTTCCACATCTTCCTTTTGCAGAGATGAAACTCAAAATCCTATTCCATTTGAACTGTAGCCTCTGCACCTCAAAAAGGAGCATCTTTTTCATCCTAGTGTCCCTATGGTCCTTTATCTCCCAAATAAGGAGGAATGTCAGCCCTTGGAATTATGATGGGGTTTATGTGCCTGGGAAAATATGACAGCCCAAGAACAAGTAAATAAATGCCATTGATAAAGCTGTCAAAATTAGTTACCTAAAAGTCACCCCTTTACATCTCAAAATGAATTGATATATACACCTGCACTTGGTCTTGCTACCTTGTCAAGATCGCATCTAATCATCATTGAGGATCCCTGTGGTAAGTGGTTGCTGGGACATTCAGCATTTGAGATATTTGTGCTACCTCTTTCCTGAAAATAGCTGACATGTATAGCCTCCTCTTCTCCCACCTTATCTTTCTTTCTTTGGCCACAAACCGGAGGAAACAAATGTAGGCTCAGTTATGCTATTTGCCTAATGAGAAACTGGCATGGATCAGTAGCCTAATTCCTGCTCTGGGACACAGGTGACATAGACACATGAAAGTGGAAAAGTTGTTATACTGTATTATTTTGGAATAATGACAAGGCAAAAAAGTCTGTGCATGTTCAGTACAGATGCGATTTTTTCCAAATATTTTCTATCTGCAACTGGTCAAATCCACCAGTCTATGAATGTGGAACCCACGGATACAGAGGGCTAACTGTATGATCTTGGTGATGTTAAAGAAAAAAGTATTCAATAACACTTGTTAAAGATAGAAAGGCAGACTTTATTCAAGACCATCATAATAGGTATAGGGATTACTGCAATGGGGTTTTGCAGTGAGGGAGAGAGATTAGGCTCAACTCTGAATACAAGAAGGAAAAGTGGGAATTTATAGCTGAGAAACAGGATGAGATCAGTGGATGGAAAATTACTAAATCATGGCATAACGGGGGGGGATTATGGCTAAACCAACCTAGAAATATTCCTGAGAAAAGCAGGCCAGGTGGCTAGTTATCACCTGAGGGATAGTAAAAGATGTAGAACCCAACCAGACATTCGGGATGGACTGGCACAATTAGAATATTAGTAAGACATAAGGGCTAAATGGACAGCTGCTACACTCGTGATTTAGTTCTAACTTCCCCCTGACTGGTGCCACTACCACATGAGGCTGGTTGGTGAGGGTTTATGGGGGTCGAGTATGCCAGTCTGTTCTCTGCTTTTGACAATGGTGCACTGTGTTTCTGTTTGAAGTGGAATTTGAATAGTTGCACAGCTTGACAGTATTTTTTAATTCTATCTGCTTAACAGCGCATCATGTCAAAGAAGACCAAAAGAACACTGAAGAAAGAAAACAGACTTTTTAATAAGGACTGAGAATTGGAATATTATCTTGTTTCTAATAAAGATAAGATGATTTGCTTGCTTTGTGATACTGCAATATCAACATTAAAGAATCAAAGCATTAAAGAATGCCAATCAGCACTGTAGCACTCATAAGGACCACAAATATTTTAAATTAGAGGGAAAGGTGTGAAAGTTTATACTGCAGAAATTAAAAGATGAAAAGCAAAAGCCAAGACAATTCTTTCAAGCAGCAATAAGACTTGGAAATAATGCCAGTGAAACAACTGATAAAGTAGCTTTTATACTGGGGAAAAAAGGAAAGCCATTCAGTGATGTAGAAATTGTGAAAGAATGTATTGTTGAAGTTGTAGGATGCTTAGATCCTGATAACGTTTCAAAGTACAAACAACTGCCTCTTTCAAGGAGAACCATAATTGATCAGCCGCATGATTTAGCCTTTAACTTAACAACTTCATGCAACACTTCAAAAGGAAAATATATATTATTCAATTGCTTTGGATGAATTAACTGATTTTATACTTCATTCTGGTCATAACAGAAGATTTTCTTTGCTACAAAGAGTTACTCGCTTTGGGCACTTTTGTGAACAGAACACAGGGAATAGACATCTTCAACAACTTTCAAGATAAATATTGTGAAGCTGGACTGAATTTGGTAAATTTAGTGGGTGTATGTACAGATGGTGCACCTTCCATGAAAGGAAAACATGAAGGGTTTATTGCA